ATTTTGATTTTAGTATTCATTAATTGATGAAATCCACAACAGAAAACCTCCATGAATTCAGTAACATTTTAAATTCAATTTATGTAATTTATTCTTTATGTCTGTTATATTGTCTGTAAATCATACCCCTTCTTATAGTCCTTCAATGGCCTTTGGAATAAAATAAAACTCTTTATCATAACCTTCAAGGTGCTGAGACCCATTCCCTGCCTACCTCAGTGATCTTGTTCTTCCATCCCATTCCTTCTTTCTCACTGTATGCTTCAATCATACAGGTCTCATTTCTGATCCTTGAAAATATCAAGGTCATTCCAAACTCTACACCTTTGTCCTTGTTTTTACTTCTACTTAGAATGCTTTTCCTCATCATTGCAATAGAGAAGACAATGGTTGGATCTCATTGTCATGTAATTCTTATTTCAGAGAGGCCTTCCTGACCACCCAATCTGAACTAGCCTTCTCTACTTGAAATAACTCTATTGCCACTTCACTTATTGATAGCTTACTACATGGTAACAAAAAAGTTGAATATCCTTTTATTAGCTTAAGAAAAAAACCTAGTGAGGGTCTGTTTATTAACAGTGAATAGCACTATCTCCCTTATTTGAGAAGTAGGTATATGTTTTCCTATACTCTAAAATTGCCCATTTTTACCTAAGATTGTGTAGAAAGACATTCTATCAAGTATTCTTTCTTTATATTCGGAAATTTTCTCTGTAATAAGTAAATGGGGAAATGGATTTTCCAATTTATTACTCTAAAATTGAACATTTGGAAGAACTATTGCTAGTCCTGGCATTAAATTATCTGGGGATATTATACCACCTGGTGAATTTTTTTAAGGAAAGAAAAAGGATTATCATGTTGGTTTCAGAATTTACAAATTAAGTTACACTAAATTCTTAAGGTGTTAGAAAAATAATCTATATCGTATATTGTTCTGGAGCCAACTTGCTCTGGCTCATGTAAGTTCTGCTTGTTAATTTCCAGGAACTTTGCAAACAGGTTGATTTTGCATGAAAGCTTGAAATTGGCCATGGTGGGAGTATTTACATCATTGAAATTGGCAAATGACTTCCTCCGCTTTTCTCCACCCCAGCCAGACAACCAGAATACCAGCATATCATTGTATATAACTAAAATTTCAGAAGCTGAATTATTAAGCTATATATAATGTCAACTCAGTGATGACAAAGGAATATGGATAGCTCAAATTAGTCAAGTTACCTTTATGGGTGTTTGGATTTAAAAAGCCACACATTTTGGGCATGGAAGAAAAAGATTTTCAAAAATAAATTATTTGTACACAGAGACAGATAGTAAAGCTTTAAAAAATCATGATATTTGTGTTTGCTTCTTACATAAGTCAGGCTGCTGAATTATTTCAAAATATGTTTAAAATATATACTCTGGGCTGAGCAGATGGCTACCTTCTGGTACTTGTGTTATCAGCTTTCCCCAACTCTAATATTAATAACAGAGCTCAACTAACTGATTTTGTATGCATTATATCTTAGTTATAATGAGTGTCTTAGACCATTTCCGTGGGGAAAGAAAAGGATTCAAAGAAGAGTTTGCTGGAGGCCCTGATTAATTATAGTCTGTAATGTTGGAGCAAGTAAAGACTAATGAGTGTTGACCTAAGATTTTCAGTCATCAATGGGAAAGGCCTTAAAGGAAAATTACATCAAAAGGCTGGGCTTTGGGTATTATTCTCTGAGAAGAACATCTTTAGGGTTGTACTACACAGAGGCACAAGATATCTATCTTGCTGTGAGAACAGAGACAAATCATTTGTGTCAATTCAGAGACAATAATACTATTTGGCAATACCTGTATGAAGGTATAAATAGTAAGATGTAGGTCCTATATTGATTAGTTTCTTTTAAAGTGACACAACAGCCTATATGGAAGCCTCCAGTTTGTTTCTTCTGAGACCTGAAATTAAATGTCCTCCATCCAAAATAAAATTTGAGAAACAAAAGCATCCTGAAATCCTCTCCCTCCCATCCCACACTCCGCATTCTGTGATAAACAATTGGAAAGTTTGGATAATTCTAAGGAATTGTGTTAGAGCTCATTGTTTAATCTTTTGTAACATCTTCAAACAGGTTAATCTTATTTATCAGAGGGGAGAAAGTGACTTTCTTTAATCATCTTTGGATGGTGCTAATTATAATTATGTTCTTGGAAGAGGGCTTCATTTTTAGTCTTGCTGCATTTCTAGGACTTAAATATTTTGGGGGCACTATAAATACTTCCCAAAGGATAATATACCGTCTGTATGTAGCTAAACAAGTTGTGGTTCTTGATTAGTTTTTATTGTGCAAGAAACTATGAACCCATCAAATGGCCTCACTCTCTGAGGAAAAAAAAAAAGAAAAAAACTTTTAGGAAAGAGAAAATATAATACAATTTGGTCAAAACTAATTTCCTGAATACAAATAAGCCCAGATTCTTGAAAAAATAATCCCAGAACAGTAGATCTCAGGAGTCAATATGAAGGTGCCACTGGTATTCTTGAGACCAGGAGTGGTGAAGGTAATTATAAGGAGTGGTGAAGATAATACTACAATTAATACTGCTACAACCTTTATCTCCTACCATTTGCTGAAAGTAACATTTTATTCCTCAAATTTTTTTAGGTGCCAGGGCTAGGATTAAGACCCAAATATCTGTCTCTTCAAAGCCCATGGTGGTTTTTTTTTGTTTTTTTGTTTTTTTGTTTTTTTTTACATTTTCAATAGGCACATACTTTCTTACTCTAAAATTAATTTTGTATCCTGCATTTTCACTTAAAAATAATAGAAGAATTTCCTCCATGCGATTAACACTCCTCATAAACATAATTTTCATTGCAACCTAACATTCTATTCTAGGATTATTCTTCATAGTAATAAAATTTCAATTGTTTTTATTTTTATGTGTATCTTTGTACTACTTAAAACTGAATCATTACAAAACATAATATGTAAAGGCTAGGCTGGTTAGACTGAGATCTAGATGAAAAGCCTCCCAGAAATGGGGAGGGAAGACTAATGCTTTAGTCTGTATTCACTACTGCAGGTCATTTCCCTGGAAGCCACTTGCTAAGCAAATGTGGAAAAAGGTCATCAGCTTGTGTTTAATTTTTTTAAAATTAAGATTTTTAATATAACATTCCAAATGTACTGTCTGCTCTCTGAATTGCTAAGGTCTTTCATCTTATCCAGCTTCTGACTTTTTGATAGTGCTCTGATTGTACTCCTCTTGATAAAGCATTCCTTAATGTCTCTTCCACTTTGAATTTTGCATTCTTAGAAAGTTATTTGGAACTTCTTATGCCAGCAAATAAACACCACGATGTTTTAAGTTCTGCTAAAACTTTTTTGTTCACGACTGAATTCCAATTACAAATTTGAGTGTCTTTCCGACTGATTACCTGTATTGAATCCATACCTAAAACATGTTGCACTTCAAACATCTTGTTCAATAGTTCTGTCTGCCTTATTAGGTCAATCTAAGCTGCTTGAAGAAGAAATATTCTCGGCCGGGCTCTGTGGCTCATGCCTATAATCCCAGCACTTTGGGAGGCCAAGGCAGGCAGATCACGAGGTCAGGAGATCGAGACCATCCTGGCTAACACGGCGAAACCCTGTCTCTATTAAAAAATACAAAAAATTAGCCAGGCGTGATGGCGGGCGCGTCCCAGCTACTCAGGAGACTGAAGCAGGAGAATAGAGTGAACCCAGAAGGGGGAGCTTGCAGTGAACCCACATCGCCCCACTGCACTCCAGTCTGGGCGAGAGAGCCAGACTTTGTCTCAAAAATAAAAAAAAAAAAATAAAAAATAAAAACTTTAAAAAAGAAAAAAAGAAATATTATCTAAAAAAGCATGAGATGTATGTATAAAGAACTATCACATTTCTACCAGTTGTTTCAAACAGCTACGTAGGAATTCAAATTTTATTTTTATTAATTTTTTTTTTTTTTTTTTTTTTTTTTGAAGTAGAGTCTCGCTCTGTCACCCAGGCAGGAGTGCAGTGGCTCGATCTGGGCTCACTGAAAGCTCCACTTCCCAGGTTCATGCCATTCTCCTGCCTCAGCTTCCCGAGTAGCTGGAACTACAGGAGCCCGCCACCACGCCCGGCCAGTTTTTTGTATTTTTAGTAGAGTTTTTTTTGTATTTTTTGTATTTTTAGTAGGGTTTCACCATGTTAGCCAAAATGGTCTCAATCTCTTAACCTCGTGATCCGCCCTCCTTGGCCTCCCAAAGTGCTGGGATTACAGGTGTGAGGCACCACACCCGGCCCAATTCTTATCTTTTTCAATCCAAAAATATTACTTGAGCAATATTATCTCCCACTATTTACTGAAAGTAACATTATATTCACTAGTCTTCACACATAAAGCTGTTAGGTTAGTATTTTTAAAAAACTATTTTACAGATGACTGGCATCTTAGTAGATACTGAGCATACAGTAAAGAACAAATTTAAAATGATCCCTGCCTATGGGGAGCATAAAGTCTAACAGAAGAGGCACATATAAAGTACGTAGGCATTTTTTTCTTTAATTGTGTATAATACAGTACATCCCTGATGTTCTCTTACAAATATAAACCGTAGTAACAGTATTTGTTTTGGAGTTTAAAATTTTTGTTCATATTTATTCTTAAACTAAATTACAAACTTTAAAGTGTGTATCCATTGGTTTTCCAGCAATCTATGTGATTAAGAAAAAGTCTAAAGCAAAATGAACTTGTATGATTTTGTTGGTTGGTTGGTTGGTAGGTCACTTATTCATTAAATGATAGAATACTTAAAAAAAAAATTCTTAGTGCCTTTTTTTTTTTTTTCTGCCGTGGAACTACTTTATTCTCAGGTCTTCCAGAAAATTATTGGATTCCTAACAAGAAAATACATTTGTGGTGTGCCAGAGCACTATATGGCTTTGCTAAACCACACAAACTATGAAAGAGCTTGTCAGATGTGCCAGTAAATCTTCCCTTTCTTGCCATAGGTCCAAAGATCTTATAAAGGAAGCTATCCTTGCTAATGACTTTATGAAGAACTTAGAGCTGTCACAGATCCAGGAGATTGTGCATTGTACGTAGCCGGTGGGAGTATGGCAAAGACAGTTGCATCATCAAAGAAGGAAATGTAGGGTCACTGGTGTATGTCATGGAAGGTACGGTTTGTAACTCCAATCGTCTGACATTCAAATATTCTCTTTTCATCTTATCAGCCTGCACACAGATGGCAGTGCATTACATGGAAAATTCCATTTTTCCTTCTTTTATTGAGAAATTAGTTTGAAAAGAATTGAAACACTACTTAGATACAGTGGTTAACTAAGTGAAGTGTTTGTGTTTAGAATATTAATATGAGAATCCAGTATTTTTTCAGACATGGATAAAGTTAAAAATGTGAAAAAAGAAATGCCGTTTATTACACTGAATAAGACTGCATGTAGTCAGGTCACTGAGCAAACCTACAAAGCTTCAGCAGAAGCTCAAGATCACTGGAAGTATTTTTGGTCTGATAATTTAAATGCCTTCAACTCCACCCTTAACTTTTAATATGTGACTAGTTTTCCTGCTATGAAGCTTTAGTAAAAAGAAAATGTTTTTCATGTGTATGACAGAGGCAGATAATAAAGGTTGGATGGCATATTACCTGCCTAAATAGGAATGATAGCTTGTTTCATACATCTTGTAAATACTAACATAGAAAGTGCTTTGAAACAAACTTAAGCCGCACTGTGCAAATATGTTTTATGCCCAGGTAAATTTTCATAATATTTATTTCTGACTGGAAATTTATAATGACATGTTTTTCTTTTGTAGTAAGAAAGTAGCTTGAGATAATGACTGAATTAGTTGGGAAGAAAGTGAGCTCAGAAATACCTGTAATGTAAGATGGTGACACATGAAAATCAGTTTCTTAGGTGGTGATTAAGGTTTTATCCAAAAGATTTGTGTGATAGTGTCCTATAATTATCAAACTTGTAGGTTGTTCAGAGAAGGCGTGTATTTGGGCAAGTCACTTCATTTCTTTCTTTCACCTAAACAATTTGTTAAAAAAGAAGATACTCTTTCTTTCTGCCAATGGTTTTCAACTGGTGATGATTCTGTCTCCCAGGGGATGTTTGGTGATATCTGGAGACATTTTTGGTTGTCACAAACTGGGTGATGTTGGGGAGACTGCTGACTTCTAGTAGGTAAAGGCCACGCACACTGCTCAAAAGGGTAGTTGCCCAGAATAAAGTTTTATCAGGCCCAAAATGTCCTTAGAGCCAACATTTTAAAAATCCTGCATTCTGCCTTCTTTACAGGATTGGTATAAAATAAGATAATTTGTATGAATGTTTAATGTAAAGTATAGAACACCACAACATAATAATAAGTATTATTATTCTATTAAAAAGTTGACAGTGTATAAGAAATATTCTTTCTTCATTCAGCGTTCACCTTTTATTTATTCTTTGTCAACTTCTTGGATATATGTTAGGCATATATGTTAGGCATTCAGTTTTTAAGTAGTAATTTCTATCACTTATTTCCCTAATAGTTTTCACCTTCTGTGTCAACAATATAAAGTTCTTTCTGGCCAAAAAATATAAATATTCATCTAGACTTTCTTCTGGTGACAAAACACAGTAAACAAAAATACACATAATGTACACTTGGCAGAGAATTGCAAAGAAAGATGAAATTATAGAACAAGGCTGTATGTGAATAGTGAGAAGAAAGGATGAGAAATGTAAAAAATATATATAGAGGTCAAGTATAGAATATAAAAATAGAAGCAATATCTTAAGAACTACTAACAGTTAGAACCATGTTTTGTTTTGTTTTCGTTTTTGCTTTTTTTTGAGATGGAGTCTTGCTCTTGTCACACAGGCTGGAGTGCAGTGGCACCATCTCGGCTCACTGCAAGCTCTGTATCCTGGGTTCATGCCATTCTCCTGCCTCAGCCCCCCGAGTAGCTGGGACTACAGATGCCCGCCACCATGCCTGGCTAATTTTTTATGTTTTTAGTAGAGACAGGTTTTCACCATGTTAGCCAAGATGGTCTTGACCTCCTGACCTTGTGATCTGCCCGCCTTGGCCTCCGAAAGTGTTGGGATTACGGGCATGAGCCACTGCGCTTGGCCTAGAAATCATGTTTAAAGCATTTCGGAGATTACATCAATAGCTTCATATGATACTATTTTTCAGATATTGGTCAGCACTTTTTAGTAAAACAGTTATTGTATAAAGGAAAGTATACTTTTACTTCATCTGTTTTCAAATGCTAATTATTGCTATTTCATTCAAAAAAACCACAATTTTGAACACCTGTGGGTTCAATGTTCCTTCATCTTGAATATGTCTTACAAAAATAGATTCCCAAACAACTATGTAAATTATTTCTAAAATTTATTCTTGTTGTCCTTTCTTACTAAGCCTAACTGAAAGTTTCTAGCTATATTGGAAAAAGGTTGGGAATGATAGTTAATTAATATTTGTTAATGTTTAGAAAATGCCCAACACATAGAACATGATTTTTCTAAATATTTTACATATAAAGTTTATTTAAACCTCAAACAATCCTGTGATGTAAAGGCTGATATTTATTATTCCATTTAGTAGATGAGGAGACTGAGGCTCAATGTGGTTAAGTAATTTGCCCAGGTCTCCCAACTAGTTTACAATAGAGTCAGGATTTATACCCAGGTTATTTGGGTTCAGAGCTCAAACTGTTAACTATGGGGCTATGTATTAGTCAGGGCTCTCCAGAAAAGCAGGACAAATAGGATGTGTCTGTCTATATACAGTGAGAAGGGGATTTATTTGAAGGAATTGGTTTATGTGATTGTGGAGGCTGGCAAGTCCAAAAGCTACAGGGTAAGGCCCATCAGTCAGAGATGCTGCAATTTAAGCCTGAATGCCGTCTGCTGGCAGAATTTCCTCTTCCTAGGGGAAAGGTTCGACTTGTTCTATTCAACTGATTGGATGACGCCCGCCCACATTATTGGAGGGTAATCAGCTTTACTCAATGTCTATTCATTTAAATGTTTATCTCATCTAAAACAAATACCATCACCAAAATGTCTGCAGTAGAATAATGTTTGAGCAACTTTCTGGTATTGTGACCTATCCAAGTTGACATGTAAAATTAAACATCAGAATCAGTTGACCCCTTGTCAACCTGGCACCCACACATATCTCCTTAAGCCATATTTAATCTTCAAATGAAGACAAGAACAAGGTCATATTTCCACCTAACATGATTGAACAACCCTGTGTATGGCTGCAAATTTATTAACCCTTTCCCCAAAAGGAGACACAAAGTTCTTGGGTGATGTTTACTCATCTCATTGCTATCCCATAGCTTAAATACTATGATGTGAACTTAACAGTACTTAAATACTATGCTGTAAAGTCAATACATCTTATGCTACATGATGAGGAGATAAGAGAGGGAAGCAAACGAAGATATTTGATACAAGCACACACATACATAAATGTTAACAAAGAAGAAATACTCACAATAGATGATATTCGTTCCCCAGGTAAATATACTAATATTTTCCCCATTGCTTCATGATAATTTTAATAAATTTTATCTTCCTTTTATTGTTAGATTGTGTAAACAGCACGTCATCTTAATAATCCTTTTGAAAATTGAGTTCTAAATAGTATATCAATATTCAGAGTCACAACTTTTGCAATGATGTTGATTACCTTCAGGGTCATAGTGTTTGCAATGTTGTTGATTGCCTTCAGTTAAACTCAATAAAATGACTACAATTTTATAACCTGATGCCAATCTTTCCCTATATGGTAATTCTAGCCAGCTCAATGTAATTTTAGCAGATCTTATGCTAATAGCCTTATGTCAAAATAATTTAAAATTTAAAAAATGATTATTTAAATTTTAAAAAGTTGTAATTGAGGAAATGTTTCATTGTATAATTAAAAGAGAATACTCATATGGTAAGACTTCATTAATTAGGATGACTGGGGAAAAGTCATCTGGGTGTAGTATACATACATTATCATGTATTTTCAAGCAAAACGAGTTGTGTTGATTTCAGATACTTAAAAGTGCTACCTAGTAGAAGTTTCAATTTCAAGTTTTGATCAACATTGTTTGGTATTAACTTCTTAAGGCAGTAGGATAAGGAGATTATATTGCTTAAGGCTCTTTTCATATTTTAATTGAGTTAAAATATTTAAGCGAGTCTTACAGAACATTTGGATATAGTTTACTTTCTTAATCAATAGACATTGGCCTTAATTATGAGGTAGCATGTGTTAATACCCATATATATTCTTGTTCTTCTTTTTTTTTTTTTTTTTTTTTTTGAGATGGAGTCTCGCTCTCTCTCCCAGGCTGGAGTGCAGTGGCACGATCTTGGCTCACTGCAAGCTCCACCTCCCGGGTTCACGCCATTCTCCTGCCTCAGCCTCCCAAGTAGCTGAGACTACAGGTGTGTGCCACCATGCCCAGGTAATTTTTGTATTTTTAGTAGAGACAGGATTTCACCGTGTTAGACAGGTTGGTCTCGAACTCCTGACCTCATGATCTGCCTGCCTCGGCCTCCCAAAGTGCTGGGATTACAGGCGTGAACCACTGTGCCTGGCTGTTCTCCATTTTTTTATAAAGATAAACCTCAGTTTACCTTCATCCAGAATAAAACAAACTCTGATTTAGTGATTTAGAATTGGTGATGTTTTATTTTGGGTGAATTTTACCTAATAGTCTAGTATTGCAAATATCTAATTTATACCTATGGTAATGATTGATTTGCTTACAGACATTTGTTTTTTTCATATTTTGGAATGCTTCATGATGGAAGCAGATAAATTTCATTTTAATTTTTTAAATGGCATGTTGGGGTCCGCGTGTTTCCTAAACAAAGGAATGAACACACAAGACAACACAAGACAAGACAAACATGGCGGCCGCCTCGAATGCATGGCAACTCCGCTTTATTTTATACAGTCGTTTGTGGAATGTTGCCAAGTCACAAGACACATTTGTTGTTTTCTGACCTTTCCCTGACTTTCTGGATTCAGATATTTACATATAAACAGAGCGCCCAACGCCCATAGCCCGTTGCGAGAGCAGGACTTATGGGGAGCGCCACTGCTTCGTTTGCGAGCCCAGGACTTATGGGAACGCCCTGCTTCGTTTTGCGGCGCAGACATCGGGGAACACACCCTGTTTGTGAGCACATAGTCCTCTACATTTCCCCTTTCCTTATTTACAAGTTTGAATTTCTTTTAAAACCATCATTACATGTTGGGCTACGCTTTGGGATTGGTGTTGCCCTTTGGCACCATCTCAGCAGACTGTGAAAAATGACAAAAGGCAAGAACAACAATCAATACATTACTGAAAACAGAGGCCAGCAAAGTTTTACAGGACTCAGGGTTCAAAGACGTCAAACTTTGTACAATACCAGTCATCAAATCTGCATGATCCCAACCAATGTATTAACTTCAGTTACAAATGTTTCAGAAATGTTCTGTGTTAATTCTTGTATTTCTAGGGAAAGATTATTATGACCAATTAAAAGTCTCTTTATCTCAGTCCAGTTATGTACAGTGCTGTTTAAAGGAACAAAGGAGTAATACAAAGATTATGGTGGTGTTTCAATCACATTTGCAACAAATCTCGAATTATTCAACACTGTTAGCTGATCTACAGCAAGAAACCACTTGTTCCAGATTATCTACTTGTTCAGTCAAATGAGCATCTCGTCTCGTTACTGCCACAACAAAATGTGATTGTTCATGCCATTTGTTGCACAAATTCTGCATTTTGTATACTCCGATTATGGAAACTAATCCAGCAACAGTATGGGGTGGGCAATTGCTAGAAGTCTATCACCGCAGTCACGACCATTTCAACCATCCTCTGACTACGGTGGACAAGATCTTACTTAACCTTGTAAATTTGAGTAATCCCAGCAGATTCACTCCAGGTACATGTGGATTACAGGTATGAGTTTCTTTTCTACTGCTCTTAAGTAGTATAAATCGGAATGAGACTCATTCCAATTATTATTCCACCAAGTAGTATTTATACAACCAAAATGTACAATGTTTGTACAGTTAACTACCCCTGTATTATTATCTATTTAAAAATTCCTGTCAACAACAAAGTAAGGCTTTCTTACATGTCTAACATATCTAGAACTATTTTGGTGAGAATGTGGAAAGGGTTAGCAATATTAGTAAGATTTAAGACATGTTTCCCTTGAAAGTGAACATTGGTTTGCAGCAGCTAGCAACTTCCAAATATGACCTTGTATTTGTGAGGTATTAATACGTCTTAGCAGAAGATGATAGACCACCCACATCATGCCAAATAATAGTTTTTCATTACCATCTGCAGAAATGCCGTGATTACCTTTATGCCAGCGCCAGGTTGACGCTGACTGAATTTAGTCTGAAAATCTCCATGCGCCAAGTCGTAACAATTATTTATGACACTTCCTTTACTTAAGTAACAATCGTGGCCCACTACTTGCCCATCTGGTCCCTCTGGTTAGGGAAACATCGGACACATCGAGGATAGGGCTAAAGATAATGTGCCAAGCAGAGTTTCATTAAGTACTATGATATGATTACACTTAAAACTTTGACAGCAATAATCATAGTAAAAGCAGAGATATGACTATGGTTATAGCGAACAGCCCAAGCCTCATGAGAAAGATGCAGACAATGTGGACTACCCCCTCAAGACATATGGTGACCCTTCAGCCTCAGATTGATACCAAACTATTTACAGTGTAGTGTTTAATTCAGGATCCTGGTTTTAAAAATGGTAGCCTCCAGCAGTATCAATGGTAAATGCAGGACTTCTCTGTCTCCCAGTACACCTTGATATAAGGGTGAAGAATGCAGCCCAGTA